GTCATTTCTTTCAAGAAACGCTCAAAACCTTTCCAGAGCAGAGCCAAGTGCCTGGGTCACCTTCCCAGTCAGGTAGAAATGAGGATATTTGGGAGCAGCCATACCGATGGCTCAGTGAATGCTTGTCAAAGATAGTACATCTTGTTTTACATTCATGCTGATTTATCAGAACCCAGAAAAACGATCTCAGACAGTCTTCATAAACCTCAAATAGGCAAGGGCTCCCCAGACTGGATTGTCCTATTGGGCTGAGTTGCTTTCCAGAATAAGATCTTTCTCAGAGGTTGACATGGGCTTAAATAAACCAGAGTAGACAGTTGAGGTGAAGATCTTTCTCAGAGGTTGACATAGGCTTAAATAAACCATAGTAGACAGTCAAGGTGAAGCTTCAGGTTGTCTTGAAAGCGGAAAGTATTTTAACGACTAAGTGGAATATACGTAAGGAATGAAATAAGTACATCTTACATGTTGCCAGTAAATACCTGGATTTCATGAAACATGTATTAACGGGACTGCTTTTCTTTTGTTTAAAAGTCTTTTAAGTTTAATGACAGTCTTAGATTATATGATCCTCATGGGATTCTTAAGTTTAATCATTGTTTCTATTCATTAGAAATTTGTTTTTATTATTATTGCTTGCTTTTGAGCCAGAAATGAGTTTCTTTAGGTTTTATTTATTGTTCCTGAATTAATTTTGGATTTAGCTAATTAGTGGAATTTTTGTGGTAAAGTTTTAATTCTAAAATCTCTTTCCCTGCTGTTGATTTTAAGTAGAGATACCTGTACATACTGACTGGGTAAAACAGGAAATGCGTTTTAAGTAGCAAATACCTGTACATATTAATGGCTGGGTAAAGCAGGAAATGCATTTTGGATGCATAGCCTAAAGCAGTCTCTGGTTGCTTTTTGGTTTGGTTTGGTTTTTTTGGTTTTTAGAGGCAGGGTTTCTCTGTGTAACAGCCCTGGCTGTCGTTGGAACTCGCTCTGTAGACCAGACTGACCTCAAACTTGCAGTCTCTGGTTTTTAGGAGGTCAATTCCTATTGGCAAAATGCCATGCTGTGCTCCACACTGTGCCCTGAGAATGCCAGTTTCAGTCATTTGGCCTCTTAGTTTGGCCAGTCCCACATTTGTGTCCCTGGCCCTGGGTAGTCTGATAGGATCCCTTGAGCTTACCTGGGCACGAGGAAAAGTCCTCATTTTCCCAGAAAACCTCTTGATTCTGGTTCTTCCAAAACACACTTCCTTTTTGTAATGTGAGTCAACAGAAAAGTAAGATTGGATTATGGGATTCTGTGACCACTTAAGCATATATGAATATAGTTTGAGATGTCTCCTGGATTGTACGAGAAATAACTGAAAAGCACGCCTAAAGCATAGGGAGTTTTGTTCCGTTGTTATAGAAACACGATATATGTTCATTTAAAAGTGAATGGACATGCCAGTTGCATCTCCCTGAATGGACATGCCAATTGCATCTCCCTAGGAGATACATTTTTTATACTTTGGTGTGTTTTTTTCACTATGAATTTTTACTTGTTTCTTCCACTTCTCTTTCTGTCATTCTTCTACGTCTTCCTGTCTTTTATATTTCTTTTGTACTTGTGTGAGGCAAAACGTCCACATCCTGGATCTTGAAATGGAACCATAGCACTGTCTCTAGGGTCCTCTGGAATTAGGAAACATTGGAGCTATTGGCATGTTGTGTACATGCTTCCTAGAATTGTCATGCCTTCTGCCACTGTTTTACTTTGTGGCTGTTTTCCTTTGCCAGGTGACTTCTAGTTGGGTTAGCCAATATCCTGCCCTTCGTTCTCTTCAGGATGACTAAGCTACTTACTGTTTTGAGTTTTCATCAAAGCTCTTGAACCTTGCTTTTATGGTTAAGCGGCTCTGCTCAGAAGTCTGCAGTCAATTCTTGGCCCTTCTCAAATGCATATCTGTCTTCCTCTGAAGCTTGCTCCCACTTCCACCTAGCAGGGACCTCAATTTAAGTTCTTCAGTCTTTGAAGACCCTAACACTCAAATCTTAGTACGAAGGTCTATTTCGTTGTCTTCTTTAAATCCCTATGAAGCTTCAAATCTGTACTAAAGTTCTTATACCAAACCATACATTGTCTTGTACTGTTCTTAGCTGCTACATGTTAGTTTTGTTTCCTTCATGAGAATGTAAGCTCCTTAAGGGCAGGGACTATGTCTTAATTTTTGTATCGACCACAGTGCCTAGCACTGTGCTTGGCACATGGGTGCTGAATAAATACTTTGTTCATTTATCAGCAAACTATTATCTTGTATTTTTAATTATGAAAGGATTAATATGTATGTATGCGAACTTGTACCTAGTTGCTGAAATTTAAGATTGTTTTGAAAACAGTATGGAGCAAAGATAAACATGATCAAGGCAATGGTTTGATGGCCATGCAAGCCAAGGTGACCATGAGCTGGTATAGTCCCAGTCAGAACAGGGAGTCAAGTGTACAGACTTCACCATCTCAGATAAGAATGGAATGTGTCTGAAGGATCGTCTTCTAGAAGAAGGGTCAGGATATTCTTTTGAATACTTAGTGTGTTAGCTTCTTGATATGAAAGCTTAGTGTGTTAGCTTCTTTATATGAAAGCCACTGAACTACAGGAGACTTGTTTGGAGGGACAGCAGATTTCAGACTGTCACTGAAGGACATGTGGACAACATGGTTTATGTAATAAATATTTAAAGTTTTCAACTCTGATTATTTTATCATTGAGGCTACTGAGTAAGTGGGTTACTAGGAATGAGTTCCTTATAAAAATGTTACATTTTGCCTTCATTAAAAAAAAAAACTGAGCCAATATTTTAAAACCATAACATTTTCGTTTTGCTTTTCTTAAAAAAGAATGGCTTGCATGGTAACTGTTGCCTGTGATTAGTGGGTGCTTCTAGAGAAGGGGAGCATGTGTGTGTGTGTTGTGGCTGGTGGGATGGCTCCAGAGATAATGGCACTTAGTGAGTACCAAGCCTGACCTGAGTCCAATTCCCAGGCCCTACGTGGTAGAAGAAGAGAAGCAACTTAACATAAGTTCTCTGAACTCTCTCCACACACAATAAATGTATGAAGTTTTTTCTTTCTTTTTCCAGAGAGAGGTGTTTTACCTACTAAGTGTTTCACACTTGTTTATATGACCTATTTGGATTCTTTTTGGTTTTTCGAGACAGGGTTTCTCTGTAGCATTGCAGCCTGTCCTGGAACTAGCTGTTGTAGACCAGGCCAGCCTCAAACACACAGAGATCAGCCTGCCTCTGCCTCCTGAGTGCTGGGATTAAAGGCGTGCGACACCACCACCCAGCTAAACCTATTTGGATTCTTGTAATCATTTAGGACTGTAAGACTCCCACATTGGGTTGTTTGGAATGTGCATCAAAGAAAAGACTAGCATTTGCCTTTTATTTACTCAAGGTCCATAACTTGATGTAAGTTATTTTTCTTTATAAGGGATTGCTTGCCTTCCTAAATCAACACAAGGTGGAGGGGTGGGGAAAGGGGAGCAAAACGACAACTTATTCTTTTTTTCTAAAATTTATTTTGTTATTTTTATATAACTTATATAATGTAAAATTATATATACTTGTGTGTGTGTGTGTGTGTGTGTGTGTGTATAGACTGTATGCACATCAGTTCGGGTGCCTTTGGGAGCCAGAGTTACAGGTGAGAGTTGCCTGACAGGGATAGAAGGAAGCAAACATGGGTTCTCTGAAAGAACAGTATGCATTCTTAACCTCAAGCTCTGTCTCCAGCCTCAAGTCAGTATATTCTTTTTTGTTTGGTTGAGTTTTTTTTGTTTGTTTGTTTGGTTGGTTGGTTGGTTTTTCAAGACAGGGTTTCTCTGTAGCTTTGGAGCCTGTCCTGGAACTAGCTTTTGTAGACCAGGTTGGCCTCAAACTCACAGAGATCTGCCTGTCTCCGCCTTCCAAATGCTGGGATTAAAGGCATGCGACACCACCACCCAGCTAAGTCAGTATATTCTTAAAATGCATCCTAAACACACTCAACATGGACATTTTTATTAGCCCTTAGTTATGTTGTTGGAAGCTCGATGAAAATATCTGGTTTTTGTTTGACTTGGTTTTTAGCTAATCAGATATGTTTATGAAAGCCACATTGTAAATGGTATTTAGATAAGTATACAGCGATATTTCATGTTGCCATCTAACACAGCTTGTCGACATGATGCGTTTCGAGTGGACATGGATCAGTTAATGATGGCTGTGGGCATGTGTAGAACTGGATTGGAAGGCTTTACTAATCTTGAAAGCATTCCTGATTTTATAAAGGATGGTCATTAACCTGATTCCTACGCAAATTTTCTGGTAAACTTGGGTATAGTAGGGTTTTATGGGGACCCAGAATTCTTATTAAGGCTTTGAAGCATCTCAGAGGACCAAGGGCCACAGGCCACATCAGATTCCACAACAGACTGGGAAAAGTCCATGTCTGTGTGTGTGTGGGGGGGGGGGGGTTAAAAAGTAAGTCCACGTACTAAATTTGGTGACTATCATTCACATGCGTTGAGAGCATGTTTATTCACTAGCAGTCACATTCCCTGTAAGAAAAAGCAAACTGGTCTGAAGAACAGGCTCAGCGCTTAAGAGGACTGGCTGCTCTTCCCGGGGACCTGGGCTCCAATCACTCAAAAGGAGGCTCACAACTGCCTTTAACTCTTATTCCAGGGGATCCATCACCCTCTTTCTGGCCTTTGTGAATATTGCATGCACATAGCTCACAAACATACACACAAGTTAAACGCCCACATCCTCCCAAAAAGAAAAATGTTAAGCTAACCATTCAGTGCTTGCCAGTCTTTCTGTGTTGAATTAGCAATGCATCTAAGATCTTGTACTTGGAAAAGCAAGGAAGAAGTGATTATATGCAAGTTTTCTCTGGGAGTACTGAATAAACCCACAATGCATCTCAGGAATTGGATAATCTGATAGAAATTACTGGGAGATGAGTTAAAGACAATTTTTTTCCTCTTGTATTATTTGAACTTATCATTTTTTTGAGGGAAATACATGCTGTCAGGATCATCGATCACTTTTCTGTAACTCAAGATATTCACTAGTAACATTTTCAAGATTCTTTGAAGCATCTGAATGACTTTAATCTCAGAAAATTCATTATATTTGTCAATCAGAGATGTCAGTGGGTACCTTAAAATGTGCATTGTTTAGAAGGCTAAATGTTTGCGTTCCTCGTTGATTTTACAAAATTAAGCAACATCCTTAAAACGTGACTATTGTTGAAGATCGGAAAGAAATAATTTTGTGATAACGGGAATCCGAAAGGACAACGTCGTTAGACAATAAAGGCTTTTGGAACCACATAGCTATCGTTCCCTGTTGCTGCTCGGGCAGTTTTTTAGGTAGCACCTCAGGCCTTGCTCTCACAGGATGTAAATGGTACCCAAACCCACAATGCATCTCGGGAATTGGAGTTCCTTTCCTAAAGTCTGGCGGCGGCAGTGAGATCATCGGTGGTCGCCCCGACACGCCTGCACGTGGAGAGAAAGGGGCGGTGCGCGTTTGCGGTCCACGGCGTAGCCGAGCCGACGGCGCCGGGGCCTCCTGCAGCGGTCCTCCCGACATGCCGGAGGAGGCGGCCCTCCCGCCGGCCAAGAGATTCCGGCCGGGCTCCTGCCCTCCCGGGAGGCGAGTGGTGATGCTGTTGGCGCCTGGCGGCGGCGGAGCAGGAGGAAACCGGAGGCAGACACCGCCGCTGGCCCAGCCCTCGGCCAGTCCCTACCGCGAGGCCCTGGAGCTGCAGCGCCGGAGCCTGCCCATCTTCCGGGCGCGGGGGCAGCTGTTGGCTCAGCTCCGAAACCTGGACAGTGCGGTCCTCATCGGTGAGTGGCCGCTTTGGCGGGAGCTTCCTGGCTTTGCGAGGGCAATTTGGCGTTGGGTTCTTCAACAAACTTGAAAGGTTTTCTGTACCCGGCATGGACGGGGAACTCGGGAAAGAGGCGGACGAGTTAGCCTGCTGGCGCTGACTGCCCGGTGCAAGTGACCGGCGTGTGTGGCGGTAAAGACACACTTCTATCACAGGGTGTGGATGCCTCTCGGAGGCTCTAGAGCTGTGAAGGGCGGGCCTCCCCCAGGCTTTGAGGAGGCAGCACCTGCGGAGAGGATCCCTGGAGACGCTGGAGAGACTGGCGGTCAGAAACAGTTCAGTTCACTGGCACCAGTTTCTAGTGTACGAGAAGAGCTTGGGAGAGTTGGAGGGCAGAGCATGATTTCAAGGGGCTTTGGTACACAATGGTTAAGAAAGAGGAGCTCCTGAAGGAGCGAGGAAAAGATCGGCGAGTGCCGGCTGTCACTGACCTGGAGTTCTGAGGATGGAGTGGAGAGCTCTAAAGCCCGGCTTTTAAAAGCTCGGGCCCTGAGGGGAGGCGTGGAGCTGGCTTTTTTTTTTTTTTTTAACAATTTTTTTTAACTGTTTTGTGTTTTATTTTTTCCGAGACAGGGTTTCTCTGTAACTTTTGAGCCTGTCCTGGAACTCGCTCAGTAGACTAGTCTGGCTCGGACTCACAGAGATCCACCTGCGTCTGCTTCCCTAGTGCTTTTTATCCCCCTAATCAGGGGGAGTAAAATTTAATTCTCTGGGGCCAGCGAGCGAGGCAGAACTCTGTGTGGGGCTGGTGAAAAGGGGAAACACACACACGAAGACACTCTTACAGGATCTCTCTATCTTCATTATTTTTCCTTTACAGTTTATATATCCCTACAGAATATTTCAAACAGTATAAAAAGTACAGTGTAGTTGCATTCTATTTTTCAAATGAGTGATTATAATGAATACAAGTAAAAAAAATCATGTTTCTCATTTTCTTACATGTATAACAATTTACGTAATTGTAATCATTCCCAAAGACCCACATATGTTCATGTCTAAGCACCTTGTTATAGATTAATAAAGTGTAAGCAAGAAAGGTACTTTCTTAGCCAGTTCTTTCACTTTTGGCTTCATTTTGTGGTTACAAAGAAAGGATCGATCATTGTATTGTTTATCTCAAAAGTTAAAATCTTAAGAATCACAAATCTAAACTTTTATATATGAAAAACAGTCAGTCAGCTCCACTTTAACCCTCAGGGTGCAGACCCATTCGTCACAGGGTTTTTATTATTATTATTGTTATTATTATTATTATTATTATTATTATTATTATTATTAAATCTTATTAGGAAACTGAAGGCAGAAATGGGTACCAGGAAGTAATCATCACCCTTGATCACCAACCCCTTCTAGCGAGAAAGGCACATCAGACATCAGGCAGCAGGAGCCAGGCTGCCATTCTTCTTGTTCCCTGACCTCAGCGAGTCCCTTACTCAACCATTAAAAGTGTCCTTTTCTAAACTTTACATTGTTCCCCAAGATTTTCTACACTGGAGTCATAACAGAGACATCTTAACCTAACCTCTTAACAACTGTACATGTCTAAATTCTTTCTGACGGTGGTGGGTGACTCGTTAATCTGCTCCAGCAGCAATGCCTGGAAAAAGTCAATCACTGTTATTGCCCAGTCAGTGCCCAGTAGGGGGTGGGGGCTGGAGACCCCCTAAGCGTTTTCATACAGCCCGTAGGTTATGAGGGACGTGGTGACCACGAAGGCAGTAAACAGTTATGCTCAACAACAGCACAAGGTCCTCAGGATGTTTAGTCCCTGGCGCTCTGGCTCCCTTGATGACGTTTGCTGACCGCCAAGCCATGTTCCATGATTTCCAGTGCTGCCTGTCAGTCTCCTTGCGTGGCCTCGACAAAGTCCTGTAATAATGAGACAAAATAGGGGATGTACACGTTGGATTTGGATGCATGGTATTGGTTATCCCTCCTACTGAGGACTTTCTCAAGAGAACTTTACGAATAGACCTGACACTGGACCGAGAAGTGATTAGGAGGTAAAAGAGTGAAGGCAGTGAAAACTGGTTCCTGCTTTGGCCAAACGAGGGACACAAGGAACTTATACAGATCTCAGTGAACAGAGCAGAGACACTGAAGAGAGAATAGAGCTGAGGGAACAAAGGTCAGGAAGTGTAAGGGAAGGGGGGCCCTGGCGACAAGGGTTATGAGGAGCCCACCTGGCACAGGAGAAAGGCCACCTCAGAGGAGGCAAAGTGCTGCAGAAGCCCTCGTAGCAGGGAGAGAAATCACATTTGAGAGCTTTCTATTGACTCAGATGCAGGAGTCCCTATGAGAACAAAAGTCCCAGAGCTGCAAGTAGGCCCTCGAGGAGATGGAGACAGAAGACAGGCTGCAAAACCAGAAACACGATGTACAGTAGAGCTGGTGCCCAGGTGCATTTTGGTCCTCCATCTGCATAGTTGGCATATTTTGTTTTCACAATCTTCAGTTACCTTAGACTAGGAGTTGGAAAGATGCACAAGAGACATTGATCCAAGTCTGAGGTCATGTGGAGGATTCACTGGGAAACTGCAGGATAATCAAATTCTTAGTCCGAGATTCTTGGCTAAGTCAAGAAAGGTGAACAGTCAGAAGCAGCTGGGAACTGGGAGAAAATGCAAGACATAGGACTGGAGGACTTCATTAAAGAGGATAAGCCGTAGCAAAGAAGGGTGTGCAGGTGCTGTTAGAGGTACCAACAGAGGGTAGGAAACAACCCTTACTGGGGGCTTGCACTCTGCAGGGTACTCAAGCCCATGAAGAGACCTCTGCCCTCAGGTATTAGAAGAGGGCAGAAACATTCAAGTGCGTCTGTACTGTTTGGAATGATCTGTGCTAGAAGAGAGATTCACGGGCGCTAAGGATTCCAGAGATGAGGGCCACTGGTACAGCCTTGAGGGTAAGAATTTGCTGTCTGACATCCTGCAACTTGCCAATTTGTATGAACGCAGATAGGTATTGCACCCATAATAGTGTAAGCAAAAGCAAAGATTTGAAGAAAGCAGCAAGCAGCAGCCAGAGAAGGGTGAGCAATGTATGAATAGACATCTCTTCAATCAGTATTTATCAATCTACATGACTGTCATATTTCATTTTATGTTGTAACCATACCAGTTACCTACTGTCTTAGGGTTCTTAGGGTTCCTGTTGCTGTGAAGAGACACCGTGACCATAGCAACTCTTATTAAAGGAAAACATTTAATGGAAGCTGACTTTCAGAGTTCAGAGGTTTAGTCCATTATTGTCGTGGTGGGACATAGTGGCGTGCAGGCAGACATGTGCTGGAGAAGAAGCTGAGAGTTCTACCTCTTGATCCATGGGCAGCAGGAGACTGAGTACCACATTGGGTGTAGCTTGAACATATATGTGAGACCTCAAAGCCTGCCGTCACGTGGACACAGTTCCTCCAAAAAGCCACACCTCCTAATAGTGCCACTCCTATGGGCCAAGCATTCGAACTGATGAGTCTGTGGAGGCTGTACCTACTCAGACCAGCACACATACTATTATACACGCTTTCAGTACTGTTGCCATCATTGAATAAACATCTTTGTTTTCTCAAATTTCTGCAAGTGGAATTGTAAACATCCTAAAAGTTTAGGATGTTTTTATTGTTTGTTTGACAATCTATTATGTGATACTGACTGTCCTGGAACTGACAAAGTTCCTGTGTAGACAAAGTTGGCTTAGAACTCAGAAAGATTTTCCTGCTGTGATTAAGGAATGTGTCACCATGCGCAGCCCAGTGTAAAGGTTTCTGAAATGTAATTGGGCCCCCTGGGAAACAGTAGCTATGACTGTTCTCCAGCAGTGTACCTGGGTGCCCGTTTGCCTAAGCTTACCAACTCATTATTTTCTTGTGTGTTTTTGTTTTGTTTTTCCTGACTTGAAGCTTTATATTTGGTGAGTTTGCTTTAGTCTCATTTGAATAAGTTTCTTTTCTCTCCTAGGGGAAACTGGCTCTGGGAAGACAACTCAGATCCCACAGTATCTCTATGAAGGGGGAATTAGCCGCCAGGGCATCATTGCAGTGACCCAGCCCCGTCGAGTCGCTGCCATCTCTCTTGCTACTAGAGTCTCAGATGAGAAGAGGACTGAACTCGGGAAGCTGGTACCTCCTTGCTTTACGTACTAACCAGCACCTAATGTGCTTCTTTCTGCCCTATATTTTTCTGAACAAGCTCTCCAGCACCCTTCACCTCCCACTCCCATTGTTATGTTGATTGGGGTCTCCCACAGGTAGCACAGGCTGGCCTGGTACTCCAAATCCTCAGTCCTGCTGCCTTGGCCTCTTGTATTCTGCGATGACAAGGGTGTGCCTCAAAACTCAGTTGAATAGCACGCTTCTTCCTTGCCACTGCTTTTGGGCTAAGCTCAGCGTTTTCCCAATTCTAGAGAGATCAGAGCTCTTAATCTGGTTAGCTTTGATTTCATAGCTATTGGCAAGTTGAGTAAATCAGATGTTTTCTTGTTTAGAGGTGCTGGAGATTGAACATACGAGGCAAGTGCTCCGCCACTGAGCTGGACCCTTCACACCTAGTTTATGAGTTTAAGACTTTAAGACACGTTGTTTATGTTTGTTGGAGTTTTTTGAAACAGGATCTCACTTGTAGCTAGCATGGAACTTAGAATATAGACGTATAGACTAGGGTGGCCTTGTACTTTCTGCAGTCCTCCTGCCTCTGCCTCCAAAGGGCTAGAATTACAAGCATGCAGTATCTTGTCTATCCAGAAACCTCTTTTACATCTATTACATGTATGTATGAAATACGTATTTTTATAAAAATATGAACGCTGTACTTAATGTAGGTCTATAGAATGAGTCTTGGAACTATGTAGGAGACAGATTCATATTTGTATTGTATATGTGTGTTACAAGTAAAAATAGTTTGAACTTTTCATGTCTGTACGTAAGTAGCTTAAAGGTTAGGGTATGTGGTTTTTTTTCCCTTTTGTTTTTTTGTTTTTGTTTTTCAAGACAGGGTTTCTCTGTAGCTTTGGAGTCTGTCTTGGAACTAGCTCTTGTAGACCAGGCTGGCCTCAAACTCCCAGAGATCTGCCTGCCTCTGCCTCCCAAGTGCTGGGATCAAAGGCGTGCACCACACCGCCTGGCTTTTTTTTTTTTCCTTTTATTAGTGTGTGTCAGTATGGAGGTCAGAGGACAATTTGGGAGCCAATTCTCTCATCTGTGGCTCTAGGGATTGGACTCAGATTGCCAGGCCTGCGAGGCAAGTGCTCTTGCTCATTTCTTTCTCTAGATTTTCATTCTTTGTGATGCTTCATTGCTAATGGTAATTGTCCAGTGTTCGTCTCTCCACATAGACTGCTGAGGACAGGGCTGGGTAGACAGTCGACCAGTGTTCAATAAATGTTTAATTAATAAAGGAGCCATGTTTTCTCTCAGGTTGGCTATACTGTGCGCTTTGAGGATGTCACTTCAGAAGACACCAGGATCAAGTTCCTCACAGATGGCATGCTTCTTCGAGAAGCAATTTCAGACTCCTTGCTTCGAAAGTACAGCTGTGTCATTTTGGACGAGGCCCATGAGCGGACTATCCACACAGATGTGCTCTTTGGAGTGGTGAAGGCAGCGCAGAAGAGGCGAAAGGAGCTAGGGAAACTGCCTCTCAAAGTATGTGGACTGTGCATAAGGACAAGGCTGCCTTTCGGGGGTGCTTCAGGCACATGGGAGAAAGTTAACGATGGTGGGAGCGATACCGGCCTCAGCTGTCTGCTTTGTAGAAATGCTGTCCAGTATTTATTTCTCATCCTAATTCTCTCCTGTAGGTGATTGTGATGTCAGCTACCATGGATGTTGACCTGTTTTCTCAGTATTTCAATGGCGCCCCTGTCCTGTACCTTGAAGGTCGGCAGCACCCAATCCAGATTTTCTATACCAAACAGCCTCAGCAGGATTACCTGCACGCAGCGCTTATCTCAGTCTTCCAGATCCACCAGGTATGGAAAGGGGTGAAAGTTCCTGGCAAGTTCTGTTTCACTTTACAGTTAATTGTGAGAACAGTTAGCCTCTGAAAGAAAAGCAACTGAATCTGAGAGCTTTGTGAGCGGTATCATCAGGAAAAGCTCATCTGTGAGCAGTGAAATGCCTAGCAGGTAAAGGGGCTTGGCTCTGAGCCTGTGGACCTGAGTTTAAGCCCTGGGCTCCACGTGGTCAAAAGAGAGAACCGGCTCTAAAGTTTTCCTGTGACCTTCACACGTGCCACTTACACAAATCAATAAATGTAATAAAGTGATCGTCCAAAAAAAGGTTAATTTGCTTTATCTGTTTTGCCTCTTTTTTGATATTTCCTATTTTCTCCAAAAAGAAAGATAAATCAATTATCGGCAGCTGTTGTCTGAGCTAGAAAGCTCTTACACGTTAGAAGAGTGGGCAGCAAACTTGTCTTTAAAGCATATATTATGTTGCAACCCAGAATGCTATTCAAGTATGTCTAGTCTTGCCACTGGCTTCCAACCTGCCACCTTCCTGCCTAGGTTTCCTGAATGCTGCAGTTGTAAGTATGCTCCACGCATGTCCTGGGGTGTTTTCAAAAGTTTTTGAGAGAGTTGTTCAGTGATTAAAGTGCTTGCCAAATAAGTGTGGCCAAAATTCAGATGGGAATTTTTTAATGTAATTTTATTTTTAAAAGTTTATTGTGGGGAGGGGTGCATGTTTCTAATTGATGTGTGTGGGCAGAGCCCACATCAGGGGGTCAGAAGATGACTTTGTGGAGTTGGTTCTCTTCGCACCTTTACCTGGGCAGGCTCAATGGGGGCACAGTTGCTGAAGTCAGTTTCCATGAGGGCGTCAGAGAAGAACCTAAGGAGTCTTACTTTCCTCCATCACATGGGTCCTGGAAATTGAACTCAGGCTGGCAGCCTTGGCAGCAGGTGCCTTGTAGCACGAATAATAGAAACCCAAAGACAGCTACTGGGTTCAAGCTAAAGATCAGAAAAGCAAAACAGTCAAGACACTAGAGAAGTCTTACCTCTGCCAAGGCTGGGTGACTGCAGGCTGAGCCTGAGCGTCTGTCTCCTCCCATCTTATATTCCCCTTTAGTGCTGGGAGTAAAGACGTGTGACTCCATAGTATTGGGATTAAAGGTATGAGTCACCACCACCTGGATCTGTTTCTGCTTGGATCTTGCGTAGCCCAGGGTGTCCTTGAACTCACAGAGATCCACCTGCCTCTGTCTCCAAAATTCTGGGATTAAAGGTGTGTGACACTTTTGCCTGACCTCTAGTGACTTAGTTTTACCCTTCAGGCAAGCTTAATTATTAAAGCATAAATAAAATACCACTATAGTGCCTTTTGCCACTGAGCCATCTAGCTTAAAGAACTTTATACAGATTTTCCTAGGCTTTCATTGTATTGTCTTACAAATACAGTATGTTAATTTCCCTGCAAAACTTCATTACCTGGTTTCAGAACATAGTTGACTGACTCTCGTGGTAACAGCTCTGTTCATTGCTAAGGATCTTCTCCCAGGGAGGTGCCACTGCCAGACTTGTTTATCTTCATCATTAAAAAGTGAAACAGAAAATAAAAACCCTCTTGGAAACATCACAATCATCAGTGTTTTCTCTCTCTCTCTCTCTCTCTCTCTCTCTCTAGGAAGCCCCCTCTTCTCAAGACATCCTAGTGTTCCTTACTGGTCAGGAGGAAATCGAAGCAATGAGCAAGACCTGCCGAGACATTGCAAAGCACCTCCCTGATGGCTGCCCTGCCATGCTCGTCCTTCCTCTGTACGCCTCCCTGCCCTACTCACAGCAGCTTCGAGTCTTTCAAGGGGCCCCAAAGGTGAGTGCGGTGCCACCTTTCTGCCAGCCATGTCACTGGGCATCAAGTCAGATCTACAACGGGGCCTGTGTGCCTGTCACCATGATCCAGGAAAGCTTGAAGGAGGAACATTTAGGTACCAGATCAGCTACTGGAGAGGAACAGGTGTAGAGTCCACAGCTGCAGGGAGAGATGAGGGAGGGCACAAAGGTGTAGAGACTAAAAGGTTTGGCTCTTCTAAGAGCTGGCATAAGCCACAATACCATGTACCATTTGTTTATGAGCCAGACAGTGCTGACACATAGATCATCTCTCATTCTCATGGAATCCAGTGAGGGATCCTAAGGCCCCCAAGAAGGGAGGTGGGAATTGATTAAAGCACACATAGTAAGATCCTGGCAGGGCCAGGATTCCAACTCCTATCTGTCTACCCACCTTGAATCTTGTTCCACTGCATCTCATTGCCTCAAATTAATCTTCGGGACCTCAGTGAAAGGACCAGTGTACTCCTTTCCCTTTGTTCCTCGTCAAGTGTAATGACTGGAATTGCTATGACTACTACTAATAATAAAGTCACCTTTTCTTGATTTTAAGCAAATTGTGGAAATGCATAGTTAGAGTTTTCACCTTCTGACTCATGTGTGTGTCATATGGCTTTTTGGTTTTCTTCCTCCTTTTAGGGCTATCGCAAAGTGATCATTTCAACCAACATCGCTGAAACCTCCATAACCATTACAGGAATAAAATATGTAGTTGACACGGGCATGGTTAAAGCAAAGAAGTATAACCCTGGTGAGAAACTGTAGCTCGTGAATGTCTCCTGTGAATAGCAAGCACGGTTAAAATGAAACCCCACCATTTCCTCCTAAGTAAACATTTCCTGTTTGTGAGGAGCTGAGATTTGAGTGACAGGGACAGTTCCAAGTCATGTCTGTAAAAGAGATCTGAGACAGGAAGTGTAGAGAGGGAAGAACTCAGTTGCAGAGAACCTAGACAGGACAGATGACGGCCTGGACTGAGGTCTGAAAGCCCACAGGAAGCTTGGTGAGAATGGGGGCAAGAAAGCCAGGGACAGCATGGTACCGGTGGTAGGCTCTCCAAATGGCTACCAGAGTGTGACTGTATGGGTTTTCATGGTGCCCAGCTTGGAGCCAGGTGCCCTGGCTGGACAGGGTTCCCAGTGAGCACAGAGGGAGCACTCGCTCTTTCTTCTTACGAGTGTCAAGCTGCCTTGAAGTCAGTTCTATGCATTTCTGATTCATACTCTGCTTTATTCTACAGAGGATTTGGTGCCACTACAATTAATATTACTCCCCAATATTTAATTGGCATGTTCTACTAAGCACTGGAGGGGTCGACTCCTGGTGACAAAGTGTCGGTCTCTAGTGTCTGACACAAAATATTCCTGTACTTGAGAGAATTGATGTCTTTTACTTATAGGGGGAAAAGAATATCACATGATTTATTTTCTTATAGAACTGGGAGGGAAGACAAAGGACCTTGTCATCATTGGTTGATATATGACCAGCCTTCCGAGTTAGGTAGAAACTCAGCACCAAAATCCCCAAGAAACCCTCAGTGTCAGGTCACTGGAATAGTTGGCCCTCACATGATTTAAGCCCAAACTTCTGAAACCATTCTCCTGCCACCTTGCTTGCAGAGGGTGTTGTAGTTTTTTGTAACATTTCACACATGACTCATTGCTAGACTTGCTTCACTGTGAGTTTTAAAGTGGCCAAGCAGGCTGGGTCTGTGCCTTCTTTTCAAGCCTTGAGTTTTTCCAGACCCCTATGTTGCAGAAACACTCAGTGGTACTCAGCATCTTTGGTTTTGCCAGCACTCTAGAAACAGTTTGCTTACGTGATGAAGCAAAACACTCACGGCCCTCTCTCCCTACAGACAGTGGTCTTGAGGTACTAGCTGTACAACGAGTGTCAAAGACCCAGGCCTGGCAGCGCACAGGGAGGGCTGGCCGAGAGGACAGTGGCATCTGCTACCGGCTCTACACGGAGGATGAGTTTGAGAAGTTTGAGAAGATGACAGTACCAGAGATTCAGAGGTAGGTCCAGGTTGTGTCTGTACTGTGCCATACATCCCAGCCTCCTCCCTCTGATCCTGTCCACAGACTGCAGCCTTTGCTAACGCTCTCTAGGGAGCAGTTTTGTCCCAGTGGGGTCAGGGACAGTTGACTAACCCTCACTTCTCCCTCACAGGTGTAACCTGGCAAGTGTGATACTGCAGCTGCTAGCCATGAGAGTCCCAAATGTCCTCACCTTTGACTTCATGTCCAAACCATCTCCAGGTAAGCTGGAAGGTAGACAGATAGACAGACAGAAAATAGCACAGGAGCTCTTCCCCCCAGGAAAAGTATTTTGAGAAAGAAAAAAAAGTATTTTGATCATGTTGTTTTGCTGATTTGACTTCATTTGTTATGAAATGGTAGGTTCTATGTTATAGCACCGTTGTGCGGGGACCAGAGGTCATCAGGCATCCATGGGATGCCCATAAAGCCCAATGAAAGGATAAAGAGAGCATGCGCCTTTGGGTTAAACTAGGATTTGACTAGTCCCTCCCTTCACTAGTTCCTCTCCTGGAGGAAGAACCTTTAAGAACTAACAATAAATGGTGGCAGCTTTGGCATCTAGACCCTTATCACCATGCCATTTTTCTTTTGTTTAAGGAAATGCAGTTGTTGAGAGAGAGTAAACTATCAATAGGTATCCCAGATCCCCCCAGTCCTCAGTTCAATTCTTCTCTCAAGAGATGTCTGGCTGTCTTCTGAACAAAAATCTGTCCCTGTGGGTGGGAATTTGTAAATCTTTAAAAAGAAAAAAAAAAAAGAAAAGAAAAGAAAAAACACATAGGGCACACTGATCTACTCGTAATATTTTTTTTTTCATTTTGAAATTCCTAAAAAGGAGCAGTAAATATAAACTATAAAGTGTAATACAGCCAACATCTGTGTGGTGCTACCCACACCATGGAAGCCTAGCCTCTGACATTTGTCTCTTTCCCATTCCTCTGGGTATCTGCTCTCTCATGATTGCTTTATATGTCTCTTGCTTGTAGTACATTAAGGCTTAGGAACGTGTGAGCTCAGTGGTGGGTGGTCGTGGTAGTGTTTGTAGAGTCATGAGCATCCAGAAGCACTCAACTAGCTGCATCTTCTTCCTGTTTTGGACTTCTGGCTCCTTTTTATGTCTCCATTTCTGTAGATCACATTCAGGCGGCCATTGCCCAACTGGACCTGTTAGGTGCTCTTGAACATAAGGATGACCAGCTTACCCTGACTCCAATTGGAAGAAAGATGGCAGCATTTCCTTTAGAGCCCAAATTTGCCAAAGTAAATGACCCCTCTTCCTCTTTTCCCTTCCTCTACATTGCAGGTTAGGAAATGCCTAAGCCCAGTGCTTCTGAACTAACCTAATTTGTTCTCTTAAATATGACGTATCACCCCACTTGTGTACCGTGCTAATGTATGTTGTGTGTGGGATCCTGTGGGAATGGCATCTTTCTGTTTTACAAAGAAGTGAATGGCATTGCCCCTGTGTCATGGTCTTAAAGCCACCACACTCCTGGAAGGGAAACTGCACGAGAGTGTACAGAAACTAATTGGAAGCCAGGAAACCTGACCCATGTGTTTTCAATTTGACTTTCCAGACTATCCTCCTGTCCTCCAAATTCCATTGTACGGAAGAAATTCTGACCATAGTCTCCCTGCTGTCTGTGGACAGTGTCCTTTATAACCCTCCTGCCCGGAGAGATGAAGTACAGAGTGTCCGGAAGAAATTCATATCCAGTGAGGGGGATCACATCACCCTGCTCAACATCTACCGGACCTTCAAAAACATAGGTGGGAATAAGGTGAGCACATCCATTCTTTCAGGTCTGTTTTTAAGTATACTTTTTTTTTTTTTTTTTTGACAAAATCATCAAAAAGAGTCCCACACACACACAAAGCCAGCTGTCATCTCAGAAATGTGTAGTACTGGGAATCACTAGAGCGAAACACTGGTTCAGGTATTCATTCTGCTTGTGTTTAACACAAATTGTGGACCCTATCTCAGCCACTCAGTTATCTTTTTCTTTTTGTTTGTTTGTTTGTTTTTGTTTTTTGTTTTGTTTTTTTGTTGTGAGAGAAGGTCTCTCCATAGCCCTGGCTGTCCTGGAACTCATATTTAGACCACCAGACTGGCCTTGAGCACACAGAGACCCGCTTGCCTTTGCCTTTAGTGCTGGGACTAAAGGTGTGTGCCACTATGCCTAACTTTAGCCCTTTTGAGAGAGGCCATTTTATAAATAAAAGAGATGTATGCTTTTTTGGCCTTGTCTGATGCTTCAAGGTAAAACAATACCACTCAGCAAGAGGACTTGAGTGTACGTGTGACTGGTCGCTTCCCCTCACCTAATTAGGGGCCAGTGGGGATCCAGTCATGGGGCTCTGCCTTCTGGCCTTATTTAACCCTAGTCATTCTCCAGGTGTCCTACTGCTGTTATAAACACCATAGTTTTTAAGTTGGGCTATTTGTGTGATGTGTGAGTGTGTTTGCCTTCTCGTGTTTCTAAGCACTACCTACTTGGCTGTTCTTGTGGAGGCTAGAGGCATCATTCCCAGGGATGGTTGTAAGCCACCATGTGAGTGCTGGAAATTGGACTTGGTTTTCTGAAAGAACAGGTTATGTTTAACCATTGACCTGTGTCACCAGCCCCTAAGTTTTTAAAATTTGTTTTGCTTTTTCAAGACAGATTCTCACTACACAACTCCAAAAGCTGGAATTTTCTATGTAGGCTGACCTCAAACTCATTGAGATCTGCCTCTTCATGCCAAGTGCTAGGATTAAGAGCATGTGCTACTATTATTCCCAAATATTTATTTTTTAAGGGGGTTTGGTTTGGTTTGGTTTTGGTGTTTTCAAGACAGGGTTTCTCAGTGTAGCCCTGGCTGTCCTGGAACTAGCTCTTGTAAAACCAGACTGGCCTCCTTAGTGCTGGGATTAAAAGTGTGTGCCGCCACCACCTAGCTTGTTTTGTTTTGTTTTGTTTTGTTTTGTTTTGTTTTTTGAGACAAGATCTTACTATGTAGCTCTGGCTATCCTGAACTCACTGTGTAGATTAGGCTGGCCTTAAACTTGGAGATCTGCCTGAAGTGCCACTACACCCAGCTTATTTTACATTTAAATTGCACTTTGTTTGTTTGTTTGTTTGTTTATATAGGGGCAAGGGAGCATAATGTGGAAGTCAGAAGACAACTTTTGGTTCTGTTCTTCTACCATGTACACCCAAGGGCTCGAACTTGGGTCATTAGGCTTGGTGGCAAATATATTTCTACAGAACCATCTTACTGGCCCACAAATGCTATAACTGAATTAAGTTTTCCCTTAATGTTTCACAATAGGGATTCAATGAAACTGAAGAATATTCAAACCATACAAGATGATGTTCTTGCCTACCTATTCAACTGTTATACTAGTTTTTTGATATCATACTTCAGTTCCTTGTGCTAAGATGAAAAATGTCAGTATATTCTCTTATGTGTTAATAAATTGTAATTGTGCTTTAGTGAATTCTTTTAAAAAAATGCTGTTCTGCAATTTTAGCATTTGTTCAACTTGCTATATTTTATTTCTATTTACACTTTGTATATGTGTGTTCAAACATGCATGGGTGTGTGCACACACATACACAGATGTGCCACATGGCACCTGTAGAGGTCAGAGGACAACTTGGAGGAACTGATTCTGTCCTTATATAGTATGGGTCCAGGGGGTTTAATTCAGGTATTCAGATTTGGCAGCGGGTATCTTTCCCAGCTGAGCTCTCTTGCTGGCCCTCAATTTATATTTAAACAAAGTGCTGAGTTCTTCCTTACTGAAGACTGACCTGCCCTTGGTGTGTGTCCCACCAAGAAACTGTCATCCCTTTGTTTGTCTTTAAAGCAGGGTCTTGCTTATAAGTGTAACCCAGGTTGACCTTGGACTTGTGATCAGCCTTCTGTCAGCCTAGGAATGTAGGTTTGTGCCACCACACCCAGCACTAAGGATATGCTTTTTAACAGGGCCTGGTAGACTGCGCCAGGCTATATTTTAAGACTGTCTCAAAACAAAGAGAAAAGGGGACACGTCCTTCACATCCATCCACATTCTGTCCTTTCGGCTACATCTCTCTCCATCACCGCAGTGGTGTCCTGCTCGGGGACCCCCTGTGCTCACGAGGGAGATTCTGTGGGGCCAACAAGTGAGCAAGTAGACTTACTGGGCTGGGCTCCTGGAGTGTGGGAGAATGCCCGTCTCCACTGTCCCTCCAGCTAGCTGTCAGTTGGAATCCCTTGTACCATCTGTTTTTTCATTGTTCTGAACCGTATTGCCCCCATACCTCAGGAGACAAGCATCCTTACATATATGTATTAGGCATTTCTATGTCTTTTGTCTATTTTTCACCAATTTCTTGGTCTTTTCTCACTAGTTTTTAATATTCTAGAGGTGCTCTTCCTTTCTGGGTATGGCAGTGCATTATTATCAGCATTGCCAGTAGCTTTTTTCATGACGACTCTAGAAAGGAAATCTTAAAGTTTTATTTCAGGTTCAACAATTCATATTTTTCATAGTTCATACTTTTCAGTATAAAGGTGTTTTCCTGTATCCTTTTGACACCTGAACAACCCTCTGAATTCAGCGGTGCAGTCTGGATTTTGTTACATGCATGTTTCCTCTGCATAGAAATAAGAGGATTGAGATCTCTTCTTTGTTATCTTCAGGATTGGTGCAAAGAGAATTTTGTCAACAGCAAGAATATGCTACTAGTAGCTGAAGTCAGAGCACAGCTGAGGGAAATCTGCTTAAAGGTAGTACCTCCTTTTCAGTAAGAAGTTCTTGTTTTATTATGGGGGTCTTGGATTGCTTGCTGCTAGTGGTATGAGAGGAATTTTCATTGTGGAAAAATTTTAAATGTACAAGAAAGTAAAAGCTACCCATAGTTCCACTCTTTCTTTCTCCCACTATTGTGCTTTATTCTTAGAAATCCATAGTGATTTGGGTTTGCTTGTTTTTTTCTCCCTGCCCCCCCCCCACCTCATTCTAGTGCGGGCTGGAACCCTGAATCTCATGCATAAATTTTTATAAACTTTTAACTATTTTCTGATTTTAAATAGTAATACTAAAAATTAAGAAGGAAAATTGGTTCCAGACTTCTGAAGCCTTGGAGTTATTTGCTTAGTGAGCTTGCCTGCAGGATGGAGTGTTTTAGTGTTTTACCTTCCTTTAGAACAGCCTCTCTCTCTCTCTCTCTCTCTCTCTCTCTCTCTCTCTCTCTC